TTCAGCAGAACCCATATGGGAGGTCTGGGGTGGTGGGGAAGCATGAAAGTGAGATATTCTGAGAGCTGCTGTAAGCCACTGGCTCCTACAGCTTCACTGGTCCATGCCCAGGAGGTACTTCTGTGCTTCTCACAGTTGCCTCCATTCAGATCCAACAGAGATGAACCTTCCTCACAGGGTCCAGGGTCACTCCCCTCCACAATCCCTTCCCTGTAGTACATCTTTCTCACACAGCTGTGCCAAGGTATAGAGGCTGGCATAAGCACTTCGGCAAAGCCTTTGGGCAAGGAAAGACAAAAAGAACCAAGCAGTTTTGGTGAGTATGGTGGCATTCTAATGGTTCATTTGTTAAAACCCTTACTTTAAGAAATGTTGGGTGTTTGGTTTTGTTAAAGTCTTCAAGTATGCCCTTTGTATTATTTAAAGAAACTTTAATGAGAGTAAATAATTTTATTTAGTCTACCAAGGAGCTGTAGCCATGTTGTCTGTTTTTGCCTCGGCTATCTTTGTTTTTAAATATTCAGCAATACTCTTAAAAGCAGCACCTTGCCCAGCAGCTGGCTGGCTATTGGTCCTGTCCTACAACAAGGCATTATTATATGTAGCTGAAGCTGCTGTAGTGATTAAAGGACACTAATTGCAACTTGAAAGGCCATGAATATGCCTGCCAAACAGTCTGCTAGTGATGGAGGATGACAGCACATGCACAGGCTGCACTTTGGTCTTGGCAGGGAGCTGTGGCCACAACCAGTCCCTGTGGTGACTGAGCTTTGCTCTGCAGAGGTTTTGCTGCAACACTGTGGCTGGAGTTGTGAAATCTTCCTCTTTTCAAAACACAGAGATTGGGAATGTGATACTGTTATGTGATACACTGTTAGTCAGAACTCTGGGTTGTGTCACAGGGCATTTGCCTCCTGCAGGCACTAACTCCTCCTCTTGAGGGAGGAGGAGTGGTGCAAGAATTTGAACAGTGCCATTTGGGACACTTGAGTGCTGAAGAAACCCTCATGGGTTTTGGAAGTGTTTACTCCACTTTTTTCTGTACACAAATGGTGATCAAACCTCCTGTGGATGAAGGACCAACTTTTTGTTTGCCATTTCATGACCCTGAACCTGTGTTAATCCTAAGGCCCAGACCCCTTCCTTGCTCTACTATTAAATGTCAGTCTTCTGAGGTATTGCTTCTTTAAGCCTTACACGTGTCAAATTCCCTCTAAATGACAAGTTACTTTCTACTTGCATTTGTCCTCTTTCCTTTCTTCTTTAGATGACTTCTGTTTTGCTCTTTCACTTAATTCAGGTATTTCTGCCATCAACATGTGAATGGTGGCATCAGCCAATACATGCAGCACTTGCAGATGGGCAACAGAATGCTGAACTGAAAGGTCTTTCTGGAGAGGCAGGATAAGCAAAGCTATAATGTACACCCCTTCCACCTCTTGTCATGTACAGCCTTCTTCACTTCTTACTTGCCAGAGAGAGCTACCTCATAATCCTCAGGCAGTACTTCTACCAAAAGGTACAAGCCCTGTCTTTTAGAAAGTTTTAGGAGGAGATAGGAGGAGATTTAGAAGTGTTGGGTGATGCCAGCTGTCCCCCACTACCAATTCAAACCGTGGGAAGCTGGCAGGAGCAGTAGCAATTTCCATGTGCTGCAAAAACATCCCTGGACAGGGCTTGAACAGCCTGATCTCAGCCAGCTTTGCACGTCCTGTGGAAGTGCCTGCCTATGGCATTGCTGGTTTAAACAAGCCCCAGGGACTTGGATACAAGCCCCATCAAGTGCTTGTAGCAGCATGCATCTCATCGTGGCCCTTTCTGCAGTGCACCACTCCATCAGCTAGTGCAGGTGCTCCCAGGGAGACCAACAGGTTGGTAAAGACAAGCATTACTCATCCAAGGGGCCACTGAATTTCTTCCTAGAGAAAAAATCTGGAGAGTGGAGAGAAGAGCAGATCTGTTTAAAAGAGCTCAGGTGACCCCTGGGTGGTCCCCATCCCTCCATCTTGATTACAAACCTGGAGTTGAAAAGTGTATGGAAACAAGAGCCAAAGTCTGAGCTCTTCTAAGGGTAAAGATGAAAGCATCTGGACACAGTTCAAGTCTGATGCTGTAAACTAGTCCAGCTGCCAAATCAGGGTTGTGACAATTTGTGTCAATGCATCTATTGACTTTTCTCCTCAGGGAATCTAGATCTAAAAAGCAGCGTGGATTGGGGGCAGATGTTGGCTCCTGCAAGCCCCCTATTCTTTGCTGCAACTGGTTCCCCCGTGTAGAGTTTGAACACCCCTCTCGTCTGTGCTGTGTATTTGTACAGGGCAGGCAGTGATCTTCCCACACTGTTCTGAGGAATTTCTCTGCATTTCAAACTGAGGTTTTGGGCTGGTTTTTAAGCTTGCAAAGATACTTAATCTTTCTAGTGTGTCAGCTTTTACACAAACAGATACAAGCAGCCTGCTTTGTGTGACACATGTTGCTGGGTCTCAGAACAGTCATAAACCAGTAGGGTTGTAGATTGAGGAGTGTGGCATTTGCTGCTAAGTTACAGCTGGGAATAATTCTGCATGTCTTTCCAGCCACTTGTTATATTAAAAAGTTGGCTTAATCAGCACTTTATGACCAAGCCCACTGGTCATTTATACAAAAAAAGTCTGTACAAGCCTGGGTTTCCTGGCTTTAATGAAAAGCTTCTGATGGCTTTATTTAGGTAGCAGTAGAAAATTATTCCTTCAGCTGTTTAATTCATCTTGCACAGCTGTGATCTTTGTGTGTGTGTGTGGAGGGCATTCTGGTTTATTCCAATTTCTTTTATAGCTGGTTTACATGCAATGTGAAAACTTCCCTTTGGTGTGGGTTTGTGCCTGTGCTGTAACTCATTGTTTTGCTGTGGTGCCACAGTCAGCAGCCCAGAGCCACCAGATCTCACAGCAGGAGTGGCAGCGTAGGCATCTGCACTGCTGTCATATAACCAGCTCAGAAGAGGTTTAAGTAGAGCCCAGAATGTTTTCCACAGTGGCAGCTTTGTTGGTGACGATACAATGATGGAAGGAAGACTTGTGCTACTATAGAACATAAAGGGCTGCAATAGGCATGGAGGGAATTAAGTCTTGCTTCTGCTCTTTCTGATGCAAGCGCTGAACATGCAGGGCAGGGGCCTTACAAGCTTGCATGGTAGCTCATGTCAATGGGATTATCCAACAGCTTCTTCTGCAGGGAAGGGTCAATGAGCGGGTAGGGAGTGGAGGAATTTGGTGCAGTTGCTATTTACAGCAGCCTTCTACCCCTGTGTTCTTCTCCACAATGCAATTATATGTCTGTCTGCTTGATTTTCAGCTCATCAGAGCAGAGTTATGATGATTCTGTTTGTCCTGGAGATGGAGTGGGTGCTGAGCACTGGACAAGACAAGAACTTCACGTGGCACTGCTCGGAGAGCGGGCAGCGGCTGGGAGGGTATCGCACCAGCGCAGGCGCCTGTGGCCTGCAGTATCCTTTGCTCAGCTCTCTGCTTTGTGTCTGCTCTTTTCCTCTTAAACAGCCTCTTGGGTTAATTTTTCTAGTTTTGTGCTCTGTATAGGTTCAGTGCTTCATGAGAGAAACCATTAGTTAAAGCCAGTTTTAAAAACTGCTGTGTTCTCCTTGCTTTGTCTCCTTAATGCGTGGTGGCATATTTAGGTCTAAGCCTTTCTGAGCAAAACAATGGGCAATCTGCAACCTATTGTGGTCTGCTGTTGTAATAAATATGGACAGGGCCTTCATTGAAACATGCAGCTCATGCTCTCTTCTTAGAATTAACAGTAGCAAAGTAGGTCAGTTAGAAGGTCCAGCATGCCTGTGTGTACACATGGTAGAAATTAAATTACTTTAATATAAAATAATGAGTACTTGTCCTTCACACTGAAACAGCCCAGTATGTGTTGGGAATTTGGGTTAACTAAGGAGTGAATGGCTCCAGAAATGGCACTCAAGTGGCTTATTTACCTAGAGCTGCCCCAGCTGCCTGACAATAAAAGAAATATTAATTCAGCTTTATTGCAAATGAAAAGGGAAGTGGAAGAGTGTGAGCTCTTAGGCTGAAACCAGGGGTTAGCATAAACAGACCTCTTAGTGCCTCACAGTGTATGTGCTTTCGATGATGTGTGTTTTGCTAGTTCTTGGGAAGTGAAACTGACTCTAAATTACTGTCTGAACATGGACTTGCTCTAATATCAGTTGTCTTTCAGCCAATCTAAATGGCATAAAGATACCATAATTTTTAATGGAATGCTAAATGTTTCTGATATGTCCTAAACCTCTCTAGAGAACATAGTGTTTTGAGTTATTAAAAATTGTGGAGGATACTTTAATTTGAGTAATTGGATCATGTTGGTGGAGGTCAGGGAAAGGGAGAATTGTTCACAAATATTCTAAAAAGCTTGGCAGAACCAGGAATGTAGGGGTCTTTTTCCCCCAGTGTCCTGTGTGCATAAAACCAGTGCTAAGCAGTTTCTCCTTAACTATCTAGTACAGACTCTAAACATGGAATCAAATTGGATGAAGAGGTCAGAATCTGTTCAGATAGGTGGTTCCAGTAGGTCATTGGATGGGTCCAGATTTTATTCAGTTTAAAATATGATGTGTGATGCACCTGATGTAGCTGAAGTCCCCAAATATGACATAAATCAATACTCTTCATTGTATTCGTAAACTTCACCATGATGAAGAAGCATGAAACTAATAATAATTATTTCATACAATCTTGGAAAAGGGAAGAGAGAGTGGACACCATCCAACTCTGGCACCTAAGTTAGAGAGGCTGGGGAGATGACTCCTCTGTTCATGGTGAAGGGCTTCTTCAAAGGTGTTTCATAATAAAACCACAAATTTCATCCTCTAGAATAGTCTCATTTTTTCTTACTTTGTGGTTTACTCAGGGACACAGTACTATTAATGTGCACAGTTATGAGCTTGAGGCCTAAAATTACACTCTGAATACCTCCTTAAGACTGACGTACTATTCACAAGGTTGCAGTATATTCATGTTAAAAGAGTTAATGAGTCATGAAAGGAATATAAAGCTTGTATAAGCAATGTGTTTTCCTCAGCATTTATCCATCAGATTTGATGTGGAAACCAGGCATGTGTTTGTTGGTGATCATTCTGGCCAAGTGACCATACTCAAACTAGAGCAAGAGTCTTGCAGCCTGGTTACAACATTTAAGGGGCACACGGGTAAGGAGGACACCCAGTTTGGTTCTTCATCCGTGCTCAGCATCACACTGGTTTGACTGCCCTGTGAAACACGAGGGCAGCTTGTGTCAGTGCACAGCATGGAGGGGGGACAGACTTCAAACTGCCACTATCACTCAGGGAAGTTTATTCTGTATTGGCAAGAATGAGAGTGATCAGAGATCAGAAAACTTCTGTGGCAGAAAATGTCACAACCAGCAGCTGCTTATTAAAGCAGAGCTAGAGTAGGAGGACAAGGTACAGTAATTCTTGGGGGAAAAGGATGCTTCCCAAGGAAGGACCCATACAGGTAGGCTCTTTTGCCCAAGAGGAGTAGGCATATCTTGGGAGGTCCTATCTGCTTGTTGGGACTGTTAGGACTTCTGCCCCATTACACTTTGGAAAAAAAAACAATCCTGGGATATGATCCTGCCATCTAACAGAATAAATTATGGTCATTTCTCAGCGTTTTCTCCCCATTTCCCTTCTCTCTGATTGAATGCTAATAGTTCAATCATGAGGTGGCACAAGGTAGTACAATCCTTGTGCTAGGATACCATGAAAATACCCATAATATTCCACACATGCTTCTCTTTTAAAATAAAATCTATCTCCTGTGAATGATGGAAATGAAAAGGTGTGTAGTCACACTATGACCATCCTTCTACCACACTTTACTGTTCAGCAGATTCATCCATGTGAGTGGCAGGAGAGCCCTCACAGAAGAGCAGGATGGGACTTCAGTAGGTTTTCTGGGCTGTTAGTTTTCAACTGGCAAGCATAGTGGCTGCATGGCCTTTGCTAAAGAAACCTGCATTTTGATCACTATCTCTTCATAATTTCTGTTGTATCTTTTGTTATCTATTTAGCTACGTTCCTATCTTTCACTTTCTGATAATAAATTACTGTTGTGTGCCTCTCCTATTGCAGGTGGTGTCACTGCTCTCTGTTGGGACCCAATACAGCGAGTTTTATTCTCAGGCAGTTCTGATCATTCCATCATCATGTGGGATATTGGAGGAAGAAAAGGAACCGCTATCGAGCTGCAAGGACATAAGTAGGTTCAAAGCCCTTCCTCCTGCTTTTGTGGGAGAAAAGCTAAAGGCAGAAGCCACAACTGGAAACAAACAACCCAAAGGTTACAGTCTTCACATGCCTTTAGCTGGTATGTGTGACTGCCTGTGGCCCACATACAACTGGAGTAAGTTGCTTATAGTAAGTTTTTCAGCTTTGGGCCCACAGGCTGGTTTGAGAGTCTGCAAAGAAAATATGAAGGAAAGCACAATATCTGTAGTCGTGAGTGCATTATTCCAGAGCCTGCACCTTTACTTGAAAGAGGAGGGTCCTTCAATGAGAACAGCTGAAGGAAGTTCTTGCTTTTTAGGTGTCAAGGTCCTTCCTTCCCCTAGAGGGAGCATCAGGATTGGACAACCTTTTTTTCCTCTATTCTAATTTTTCGACGCCACTTCACCTTTAGCCTGAATTCTAAGTAATGGGCCTTTATAATCTCCTCAATGCAAAGAGGCTTCATCTTCACACATACAGGACTCACTTTGGTGTAGCATAGTAGACATCTTTGAAGAAGAGTAAGACTGTGCTGGGCATCGAGTAGAGATCAGAATGGCTCTGGTTACAATGGCCTCCTAGCCCCTGGAAACGGAGCAAGTTTGTTTCCATGCATTGGGAATGTGTGTATGTGGGACTTTGGTGCCAGGCTCAGGTCTGGAGAGGCAAAATTCCATGGTGGTTTTGATGGTTTCTCACATACTCAAATGTTTCTTTTGAGTGGTGCTGCATTCTGCTGAGGGATTTGGCTGTCACCAAGATTTCAGAGAACTGCAGAGCTCTTGCTGAAGTTCCCAGATCACCCTCACGCCCTACTATTGGTGCTTGCTAGCACAGCACTGCTAGGTGTACTGCTGTGGAAATTAGTTCTCCTAATACAAAGTTAGCCTCTGGATCTTAATCATAGAATAATTGGGTTGGAAGGGAACTTTCAAAGTCATCTAGTTAAACCTCCCTGCAAGGAGGAACGTCTTCAACTAGATCTCTGGTACAGCTGTTGTCTGGCACTGTGCAGCATAGAGACCTGGTCCTAAGGACAACAGGGACTAAGTAATATTTCACTCAGTGATGCCACTGGCATCTGCAGGTGGGCACTGTTAAGGAGGGCTGTATTTTACCAAACTGTCCCATAAACACATTGCCCTCTGGAAAAGCAGCTATATGACAAGAAAATGCATTAGTGTGGAAGTCCTTTGGGTAGATGAGACCAGTGCTGGTAGCAAAGCAAGCCAAATGTTATGGAATAGTTCTAGTCACTCTCTGCTAGATTCCTCTCAGTGTTTTACAGTCTTTGTTCAAGCTTCAGACGAGACCTGGTTTTCTTTCTTTTTGAAGGAATGAACATAGCTTTGGGGATTTAAACTGCATCATTTATCCCATGTTACTTTTTCTTTAAAAGAAGAAGCAAAAGCACCTGAACCTTTCACCCTACTTGGGAAGGCTTAGGAACAATTTAGTGATTCCTGTGTTATTCCTGAAACTCTTTATGCTTGATAGTGCTAAAAGAAAATCTTCAGTAGCTCCTTAGTGCTTCACTCCTAGATGTTCCAGAGATTTATGAAAGCAAAGCTGTTACTGACTTTCTGAGAAGATGATGTCCTACTGGAGCTGTGTTTATGTATCCAGATGTGCCTTCAGAGAGGCCCAGAGCTGCAGCTCTGTTTAGGCTTCCCAGTGCAGCTGGGACCTCGCAGCTCAGCAGCAGCAAAAGCAGTTATCAGAGCAGGTCTTTCCTTTTGTAAATGCTGCCCAGATGAGTAACACTCCTGTTCTGGTCCTGGTCCCAGCTGGACAACAAAGACTGATTTGCATCCAGTGGCTGCCGTGTAAAGTGAGGGGAGAGAGGGAAACAAGTGGGCAAGAAAGTGGCTTATAGTGCTTTATTTTAAATTCTATGCTTACTTGTGCACTAGCCAAGATGGTTGATTAATAACTGTCTTGTTTCTCTTTCAGTGATAAAGTCCAGTCTCTCTCCTATGCTCACCATACTCGGCAGCTCATCTCCTGTGGTGCAGATGGGGGAATTGTCGTCTGGAACATGGATGTTGAGAGGCAAGAGGTAGCTACTTGGTTCTTGTTGATCTGGTCAGAAACATTCTTGGGAAGAAGGGGCCTTTTTAAAATGTGCAACTTTCAACCTGAGCAAGATCATTCCAGGCTTTAGAAAAGATTTTTGTCACGCTCCAGTTGTTATAGAGCAATTTGGTACAGCCTTGGATAATATGGTGCAGTACAGGGGAGATTGTCTGACAGAAAATGTGTATGAAGTAGCTGCTGAAAGGCTGTTACCCATAACACTAGTGCTTCAAAAGGCAGCCTCCAAGGAGGGTGTTGTGAAATGTTCTGCTTTGTTTTTCAGGACATTATGAGAAATATTATCAACTCAGAGGTAGATGAATAATGATTAGGGTTTTTTAAGAAAACAAAACAAGAAAGCTCTTTGTCATCTCTGGAAACCCATAACCCAGGGTTTTTTACCTCTTCTTGCTAAAAAGACATTTAACTGGGGCTTCAATCCCACCTGCTATTTAGTCTTGCTTCCTTCTGGTGTAACCATGCAGACACAGGGTAAACGATGACTTTTGCCAATCCGGAGAGTAGGATTTCACCCACGCACTCCTAACTGCCTTCGTGCTGCACAGCCAGTGGCTGCTGGTGGGTGCAGAGATGCACCCCAGGTCTGTGGCACCGCGGGAGCAGCCTCCGCTCGGCAGTTTCTGAGCTGACTCAGAGAGGGGGAACTGTGCTGTGCTGGGTGAGTCAGGTGTCAGCCCTGCCCGCAGCGGGGCAAATCCTGGCAAATCCTGGCAAGGTGAGTCATGGCAAACATCTGCCCTGTTCCTGCGGGGAGCATGCAGGCTCCCCGGTTCTGGAAAGGGACAACTGCCGAGCCCTGTGTGCTTCAGCCTGTTCTCCACCGCCATCCAACCTTTGCCAAGTCTCCACCAGAGGCTCCTGCATTGCCGACTCTCTGCTGGGACAGCTCTGCACTGATCTGCAGATGGTGCACAGGGCTGTGCTGCTCCCCCCTGCACCACATCTCCCCACCACCCGGTGACCATGGGTCCTCCCTGCTGTATGGCACCGTGCCACTGGTGCTCCCCGCATGCAGCCAGATCCTTTGAACATCAGTGGGTGCCCTGTGTGGCACCACAGCGAGCCCTGAGGGCCTGGCATGAGAGTCTCAGTATAGGCAGCTACCACACGAGTGGGTCAGAAGGCAGGTGGGGAGAACTGCAGCAGGTTTTGCTTGGGAAGCTGGGGAGCAGCAGACCACTGCCTGCAGCAGGGAGGACCCGTGGCACGGTGCTGCATGACAGGGAGGAGCAGCACCGTGCCACAGTGTGGCAGAGAGGATGGACACAGCACTGTGTGCCAGCTGCCAGTCCTTTTAGAGTTGCCACAGTGTGAGACAATGGTGTAGAAGTGTCTGGTGGAGAGCTGGCAGTGGACAGGTGGTGGCAGGCAGTTTCCCTGCTCCACCAAGTATTTAAGACGGGCAACCACTCTGATGAAAAAAAATGGGAGCAGCAGACCACTGCCTGCAGCAGGGAGGACCCGTGGCACGGTTCTGCATGACAGGGAGGAGCAGCACCGTGCCACAGTGTGGCAGAGAGGATGGACACAGCACTGTGTGCCAGCTGCCAGTCCTTTTAGAGTTGCCACAGTGTGAGACAATGGTGTAGAAGTGTCTGGTGGAGAGCTGGCAGTGGACAGGTGGTGGCAGGCAGTTTCCCTGCTCCACCAAGTACTCACACTGGATGGATCTGAGCCAGGCTTTTGGCAGCATAGGGCTCTCACCAGCTTTGCTGGTTCTCCTCAAGGGTTTTTTGCTGCCTGGGTTGTATGTGTCTCTCTGGATCAAGGAAGAAAACTAAGTGGAAAACTGTATTTTTAAAAAGCGACTGAAATAGGTCTAGGCAGGAGCTAAGCTCCCTTTTTATTGTGAATTACCATTCCAATTAGCTCTCTTTAATTGCTAATATAAGATTAGTATGGCCATTAGGTCATCAGCTCCAAAAGTGAAACGAAAGCAGAGCAATTTCTTCCTTCCCAACAGATGTTTCCTTTTTGTTGAAACTTGAACTTCCAGAAATGAAAACCTTAATTTATTTTCTGCCTTCAGAGGGCTACAGTAAGGGTTAAAACTGGCTTGTCACAAAAGAGTCCTGTGAAAAGTCTGACTTAAAAACTGGAGGGGAAGTATAATTAGCTAAATGAGGGTGTAGCAGCAGGTGCTAACGGGTGTGCTGCTTTCTTTGACTATGGTTATGTGAGCTTTTTCATATTATCAGTAGCAGAATAGGGTGCTCATGGTTGAACCTTTGAGATTTTAATACCACACCTTGCTTTGGAGTCCTAGAGCCTTTTCTTCTGAATTTTGATTTTTGTATTTTTGCTCTTATTTAAGGGTTTTCTCCATGTGATATGTGCTCAGTAGTCACTTGGATGCTATCAGATTTTCCCAGATGTCTAAGATTGTGTTAGGGTGAATTAAGCCATTGTAGCCCTTGAGTCTTTATTTAATATGTTTTCAAAAAGCTGTGAGAAGACAACATCTGAAAGATGCCAGAAGTTGTGTTTCTATCTGACTACAAAGCAGTTACTCATCACAAGCAAAATGTCTTCATCTGTAGTGTTCAGATGCTTAACAGATTAAAACTTACACACCCAAATGCAAATCAGTAGGCATTAAACAGAAAAACTATTGTGGGTAGAAGAGGCAAGGATTTGCCCCAGCAGAATGAACTGCCTTCAAAGTAACTGGCAGAGAAGCTGAAGCAGGTTTATTGCTGAGGGTCAAAGCTATCTAGGGGGTTGGGGATCTCCATCAGCCTTACCTTATCTCTGCCTGGCTTTTAGATATATATATATATA